TGCTGCTAAAACAAATAACACTTATTACACATTGAATGGTATGTTGTTAGTACTTAACTCGAAACATCCTGGTAAATCAAATAACACTTGTTATACGCCGAACTGTATTACTACTCAACTTGAAACTTTCTAGTAAAGCAACACGTGTTACACTCTGAAGGATTGTTTGTTTTGGAATTTCGCGCAAAGCTACACGAGGGCTATCTGCGCTAGCCGTCCCTAATTTAGCAGTGTAAGACTAGAGGGAAGGCAGCTAGTCATCACCACCCACCGCCAACTCTTGGGCTACTCTTCACTCTGAAGGAAAGAAGTGGGGAAGGAAGCACTTCGTTTACGTATCTTGGAGAGTAAATCCAACTAGTAACATTTCTCTATTAATCACTCAAAATATTTCAAATGAGTTGCGAATCAGTATATAACTAAACAAACTGACGAAAATAATCCGAACTGACAGACGACATTTTCAGGCTTGGTTAATCGACCGTATTGAACCTTTGTGAGTGTATTCGTTAAACTCGTATCTGGGAGAGAGAGAGAGAGAGAAAACGAACTTGTTGGTACTATTCCACAAGGATGGGATACTAAGGAATGTTCAAAAGTAGCAACACTCTCCATCTTAGTAGATTCGTTGGAACTCACCATTTTAGGGTGGGGCATGGCCTGATGGAAAGGGCGCTCGACTCGCAATCTGCGGGTCGCGAACTCGAATTCCGTCACCGAACATGCTCGCCCGCCTTGGGAACGTTATAATGGTACGGTCAATCCCAATTTGCGTTGATGAAAGAGTAGCCTAAGAGTTGGCGGCGGGTGATGTTGATTAGCTGCCTTATATAGAGTTTATTACTTCTAAATTAGGACGGCTAGCGCAGATAGCCCTCGAGTAGCGTTGTCTGAAATAAAAATAAAAACAAACAAATAAACTCGCCTTTTTTTTTTTTGCACAACTTTATTTGAAAGCTGTAGTATAAATAAATCGCCGTAAAATCTCTTGATCTTATTGTCGTATTCATGGAAGCTCAAACACAGATTAAGTATGTAGCATATGAATCGTTTATAACGAATGCCACTGTTATAGTTGGAGCTGTTATAAAAATAAAATAAAAAATACTGGAATTTCTTTGATTTTATCAGTTTTTTTATTATTTTTTTCACTGAGTGAAGTAAGAGTGAAGCAAAACGAACTAAGGTATAATAGAAACCTGAATACTCTATGAATATAAACGTGTTAGGCCTATGTGGGATACGATGAAACTTTTTCGGTTAATTAAAGATTTATTTTCAATTAGTACACTAAACGGAAATGTCCGTCGGATACTCAGCAAGGCTTAGTGAAATCAGCGACAAAATAAGCCAGTCGTGGACTTAACAAGAATGACGTACACATTTTTCAATAAGCGCATAAACTAAACTCTCTTATTAAGTAAGTTGTCGACCTTATTTGTCTGTCTGTAATAGTTCATTCGACCTTTTTACTCTCCAGATAATGATAAATGAAAACTTTATTTCTGTCAACTTTTCGCCTCTGCGGTTTCATTGGGACTAGCAGTACAAGAACTAGGTAGTTGTTTTCTAACTTCATTGCCCTAACCGTACAGTTACAACATTATATATAATGACATAAATTTCTGTGTGCATCTTTTGTGTTGATCCTTCCTAATTGTTGCTTTTTGTACTTACGTTTTGAACTAATTAATGAGCATATATTTTGTGTTAAAAGAAATACTGAAATTTATGCTTGACGTAAGTGTTTGTTTGCCTGTTATCAGTTTGATATATTTCACGACTTAGTTTCGTAGTTTATAATAAGTTGCTGTTTTTCTCTGTTTAGACTTTAATCACAAGTCAATTTTTGTTTCTGACGACTTAGTCCCACATGTTATCACACGTTTTTTACTTATGACGACTTAGTCCCACGTGTTATCACGTTTTTCATTTATGACGACTTGATTGCACACGTTATCAGGTTTTTTAAATTTCTGACGACTTAGTCCCACATGTTATCATACGTTTTTCATTTATGACGACTTAGTCTTGAGTTATAAATATCATATAGAACTATGTTTTGAGTTGTAAATATTATATACATTATGAATATGTCTTGAGTTATAAAATTACCCAGACATAATTAACTGTCAGTGAAGTTGGGACAAGGAAATATAGTACAATAGGCTGAAACGAAATATATTTTAGTCCAAACTTATTGCTATTAGTAAGATTTCATTTGGAATATTGATATTTGAAATTATTGTGATTTAAATCCATAATACGATTTATAAGACATGTAATAATATAATGTAGTTTTTTGTTGTTTTGTTGATAGTAGTTATTTTTTAGAAATGCTATAATAATTCTAGGTTGAACGTTAAAATCTTAATGGATCAACTTTACGTTCACTAAAAATAACCCAAAATGTTCTTACCGTGCTTAACGAGATTGTGATTTTTAGGCTGTAGCTCGCGAAATATTTTGCTGCTTAACTAAGCCTGGAATTTGCATGTTTTGTTAAAATCCTGTTCTTTACACGCTTCAGTGAGGACTAACTGGTGGTGGCCAATCCCTAAAACCTTCTCGCAGTTATATATATTTCATTTTGCAGGAACGTGTGTTTAACTGATGTTCGGTTTCACGTTCCAAGTTAACAAACTTCGTATATCAAAGCAGAAAATCTGAGGCAGAGAAGTAGTAAACTCAGAAGTTCTGGGGTGGTCGAAGCAGGCAAGTATGACGATAAGTTGGGGAATGGAGGGGGGATTTCATTGTGGATTACCCATTCTAACACACCTTTCAGAAAAATAGTGAGTGACGTATTACTTTTGTAATGTTATCCAGTATCAAAGATCCAAAGCATAAATAGAACACTGTTTGGAAATTTTATATTCTCGTCGTTAATGAAACCTTTCGGAAAAATAGCGCATGACGTAATAGTTTTGTAATGTTATGTTTCACATTTTTGATATTGGATAACATTACAAAACTAGAGTGTCATTCACTGTGTTAACTAAAGTTTCGTTAACGACGAGAATATAAAATTTCCAAACAATATTCTATTCATGCTTCACATATTTAATACAAACTTAGGAAACATAGTGAGTGACGTAATAGTTTTGTAATGTTATGTTTTACATTTTTGACATTGGATAACTTTACAAAACTAGAAAGTCATTCACTGTGTTTCCTAAAGTTTCATTAACGACGAGAATATAAAATTTCCAAACAATATTCTACTCATGCTTCACATATTTAATACAAACTTAGGAAACATAGTGAGTGACGTAATAGTTTTGTAATGTTATGTTTACATTTTTGATATTGGATAACATTACAAAACTAGAGTGTCATTCACTGTGTTTCCTAAAGTTTCATTAACGACGAGAATATAAAATTTCCAAACAATATTCTACTAATGCTTCACATATTTAATACAAACTTAGGAAACATAGTGAGTGACGTACTAGTTATGTAACGTTATCTAGTATCAAAGATGTGAAACATGAGTAGAATACTGTTTGAAAGTTTTGTATTCTATTCTTTAATATAAAGTTTAGGGAACAAGACTAAATTCCGCTGTCATTATTATTTCTGACACCATAAAATTGAGGGTAGTTTCAAAGCATTATCCACCAAAGCATCGTCTTTCTTTTCTTGTAAGCTGTCGGAGCGACTACACTGTTGAATGACTGTGTGTGGGGGGTATAATGACAGTGTCACCAACTTAGTTTACCAAAGTTGCTTATCTGTGTAATAATTTAAATATTCGTATTAATTTTCCAACTTAGAAGATGTTCTTGATTATCGGAAGAAACTGACTGTTTTTTATCTTTATACCTTTAAACCTTTTAATAGTAAAATGTAGTTTTCTGTTCAATATCAGCATTGAAAGTTCACCTGGTCTTTCTGTGCCGACTTTTCACACATGGTAAACGTGAATGAGGAGAATACAAATTGACGTCATTGATGGTCACAGTGAAATATTAAATTCATTCTTAGCTGAATAGTTGGTATGCTTAAAACATACTTGTTATATTTACTTGGTTAGAATTAACAATATGTACACTTAACAATGTTTCCCTTACATTTGTACATATGACAATGTTTCCCTTACATTTGTACATATGACAATGTTTCCCTTACATTTGTACATATGACAATGTTTCCCTTACATTTGTACATATGACAATGTTTCCCTTACATTTGTACATATGACAACGTTTCCCTTACATTTGTACACTTGACAACGTTTCCCTTACATTTGTACACTTGACAACGTTTCCCTTACATTCGTACATATAACAATGTTTCCCTTACATTTGTACACTTGACAATGTTTCCCTTACATTTGTACACTTGACAATGTTTCCCTTACATTTGTACACTTGACAATGTTTCCCTTACATTTGTACACTTGACAATGTTTCCCTTACATTTGTACACTTGACAATGTTTCCCTTACATTCGTACATATGACAACGTTTCCCTTACATTTGTACATATGACAACGTTTCCCTTACATTTGTACACTTGACAACGTTTCCCTTACATTCGTACATATAACAATGTTTCCCTTACATTTGTCGTACTGAATCTGTAAACTCAAGTAGGATATGTTTCTTTAGTTTCATAGACATGATTTTTTTTCATTTGGTTAAGAAATACGGTTGAAATTTTACAGCGGAATGGTGTTTCACGATGTGTTCCAAGTTCGATGTCGTTATGCTATATATTTTGAATAGTTTAGCGAAGACGTGATAGTGCATACGTACTCGTAGAAACGTGAAACGAGTTTGTAAAAATTATACTTTCGATTTCCATTCTTCTTCAGTAGGTTTTTGTTTTTGGTGTGTTTCCAATAGCACTTTCCCAACTTCTAATGTGTGATAAATTCGACAGCTCATCACATCATATTTGACAATATTACACAGTTTCACTATACTCAAAAGTTCTACGAAAGAGAATTGACTTGGAAATTAATTCTTTCTCTCTCCTCTTTTTTTTTTTTTCAGAGAACTGAAAGCCATATCTGGAGAATGGATGCAAGAACTTTCATACAACTCCAGCCGAAGAAAAGGTACCCGTTCTTCTGCTCCAGGAGACATCTTGTGGAAAACCCTACAGAGTAGGTTTAGAAAAAGTATGTGAATCGTCCGAATAATTAGTTAATTTCAAAATGATTTATTAATTTTTGGTTTAGTGAAATGATGGATAATGATGTAATAGAAAATATAGTTTCAAGGAGTGATATAGGATTTTACAACAGAGCCCTGGGCCTCAAAGTAAATTCTTTTATCACAGAAAAATAAAATCCTTTAATAGATAATTCGTAGATAAGTATTTCCAGTTTCCTTCATAGAAAAACATTAAGTTTATTTCCATAGAAAAAATTAAGATTCACAGTAAGATTTTTTTTTTATAGCGTTGGGAATGGGACTGGGAGAATAGATCCTGATCAAATCCTTGATATTGGTTGTGTTCTTTGTTTGAAGTAATTAGACTTAAGTTGGTATAAGTCGACTTTAGAATGATGTTGTTAAACGGACAATTAGTGAAACAAATAAAAAAGGGTGTTTTTGAACAACTGGCTCAAAATTAAGCTTTTTTAGGTTGCTCAAGTGAAAAGTTAAACATACAAAACGTTATTTTTAGCGTGCCCCCGAAATTGGATTCTAATCTTATAGCGGTTTTTGCATTGTGTCTAACTTACTATTATTGAATAGCATGCATATGTTGGAGCAACAGAATTGGTATTGAGGCGTGAGTTGTGGAAAACAAAATACTGAAGTTTAGATCGGAACAAGTAAACATTGAAACCTTACCGTTTGCGGGTATATCGATCCGTCCTAAGCCATCGTAATACAATTGGTGATTACCCTAAACCATGGCTTCCTATGGCATTGTGAGATGAGTGTTGATTACTGTAGAGTACTTGGCTGGCATGATTTGGTATATATTTAGTTACTTTGGAGCATAGAAGACTGTGAAAGCTGTTATTGACGAAATACACATGTTAGAAAGAAATATCTACAGTAGTCAATAACAACACTCGTTTGTAAGAAAGTGTTACTGAGAAAGACAAAAAGTTCCAAAGAGCTGAGTATTTTTATCGTTGGTTAATGATATGATGGATTGATTACATTCTAAACCTACCTACTGACGAGTTGAAATATAATCTTTTTTGAAACTTCTGGTGAGAGATGGCACATGAAAGAGACGAGAGAACTACTGAAGTGGAAACATCACAAACCATATTTTGGCTTCATTCAGTTTCTCAATAATTGCGTACATGAACGTACCTATTATTAAAACATATTGAAGGAATAAGGCATCTAGAATTAAAGGAACCGAATAAACCCTTGAGGCTGCTAAAATAAACCGAATTTTGGATAAAACCAAAAGATTCAACAATAATTTTATGGAGTACCGAATAACTGATGCTCATTGGTTGCACACCCCAAATGAAACATAGATGTGATTGCGTGGTTGTCAACATCAAACAGTATTTATGTCAATAAACAGTACTGTAAATTATCAGTTGAGCGATGCAGCACATATTGAAACCCTTCGACTTCTTTTATTTGCTAAGAACCCCCCTCCCCCTCCAGGCCTTCTTCCAAGTTCATTATTGATTTTTTTTCTAGACCCGTGTATCTTGTTCACCTTGGAACCAGCTATACTCCTAGCACGTTCTTTTCCAGAACTTTTCATTTACTCCTGTCATCCTTTCTTCTCTTTCATGCCATTGTCTAGACTCTAGACAACATCCACTTATTTATTCTTTTCCAAGTCAAGAGCCACAATGCAGACAAACTCCACTTTTTCTTTTCTTTTCTGGCTTCTACCACTTCTGATGTCATTACACAGACACCATCATTTTTCTGCTGTATTCTTCTTGAACTACTGATTCCAACATCCTGAAAACATTCATGTCTCATCTGTCTCCTTCTCCCACTTTTAATTCCAGAATCTAGAAAGGAGCTCTTAATTCCTATGTTTTTCAACAATTTCTGATTTCAATACCTAAACTGCACTGCTTTTCTGTAGTCTTCTACTCCAACTTATGATTCCAATAATTAGAAGCATTAATTTCTTTATTTTCTCCTCGTTCTTCTGACGTCAGTAGTTAGGCAACATCCACATCTTTGCTAGCTCTTTCCATTTCTGAATCAGACAGCATCAGATTTTCTTCTCCCATTTCTGTTAACAGTACACAGATATCGCCAATTTTCTTCTGTAACTTTCTCCCATTCCTGATTGGTATTCTGACAGCATCAAGTGCCCTTCTGTATTTTTTTCTCCTCTGATCTCAGTACCAAACAGCATTGAGCTTCCTTTGATATTTTTCTCCTTTTGTGTTACCGATATATAATATTGCAGATTTTTCATCTCTACTTTTTCTTCTACTTCTGATCTCAATACTCAAACAACATCAACTCTTCTTCCGTAGTCTTCTCAAACGTCTGATGTCATGTTGCTAGTACACAGACGAACATTGCCAATTTTCCTTTTGTAATTTTCTCGTGTGATGCCTGTACCCAAACATTGACAATTTTTCTTACGTAGTCTTCTCCCTCTTCTGTTGCCAGTACAGACATCAGCAAATTTTCTTCTTAATTTTCTCCCACCTCTGATGCCAATGTAGAAATCGTCAGATTTTCTTCTCTAGCTTTCTTCCTCTTTGATGCCACCACACAGACAACATCCGTAAATCCGATCCCTGTATTTTCTACTTCTGGTAGCAGTATTTGTTATTTCTTATCCTATGTATTTAGAAACTACAAAACTTATTTGAATTTAAACTGGGAAAATAAGTAGAAGAGTGGTGCAGGTTCCAGGTTTAAGTCAAAGATCAGGAGACAGCTTTTCAAATGAGAGCTACTTAGGAGATAATTTCTGTGTTCTGAAGTTAAGGTCCCCGCGTTTAAGTTAAAGGTTAGAAGATAGCTTTTCGATTGAAAGATACTTTGAAGATAACTTCTGCGAATCAGGTCAGTAGACATTTTCTAGTGCGACTAGTATTTACTGTTCCAAATTTGCATAGCTATGGAACACAGAATCCTATTTTAAGAAAAAAAAAGTTTGATTATACTGATTTGTTTCACAAAAGTACTTAAGATGACTTGGACTTACAATGGGCTAGCGAACTTTGTTTTTACACTTGTACTATTTGACCGGAAAGTTTGTAACGTGTATAATGTATGCTGAATAGTTTTTATTTAAACGTAAGTAACCGAACTTTTGATAAAAGATTTATTCAAGTGTCTAAAATAAATCTACTAATCTTCAGTGGCATAACAGCTACTGTGATTTTCTACACTATTATTGTTATTATTTTTTTGAAACGTGCATGTGGTGTGTTTTATTTGACCAAAAACTTTTCACCTGTTTCAAGGGTTCATTATCAGGGGTGAGGTTAGGCTTAATAATTAGAAAACCTAAAGTTATTTGAAATTCCAGCGCTGCGTTTGTGTTATACTGCTGACAGCAATGCATATACGTATCGATATAAGAGGTAAGGATACGGAAAGTAAAAAATTGTAAATAACATCAGTTATGACGTAACAGTGATGTAACAGAATAGTAAAATGTGAAAACGTAAACTCATTTAGATAATTCACACAAAATTTAACGATGTTTAACCAATAAACAAGATTGCCCCCGGATACTGTCGTGAATTAGTTTTGTGTTTGGTGTAGATTTTTGTGTACTATGGTATTGGTCGGTTATGGGAGCTATCGCCATCAAATAGCTGAGTGTTTACATTTAAACAGGGTTGTTGTTTTTTGTAACGATTTAACACTTTTAATTAATAAACAAGTATGCTAGTAAGTGCTGCTTGAACGTGTTTTGTAAGAGTTTAAGATATTCAGATGTCGACAGCTAAAGATACGGTGAAAAATTTGTTCTGGTTGAAAGAGTTGGTAGTTTAAGTGCGATTCAATAGTGGGGAAAGTCCTATAATTAATTGTTCACAAGTATTTTAACTAGGAAGGAAGTTTAATACTTAATTTCACTTTTTTTTTTATTTCATGAGAAGTGCAAATCAGAATATACTTTTGTTATATTTTAGACCCCAAACCACTGGCATTACAAGTATGTCAAACGTTTTGTATATTTATGAACAAGTAAAATCGTCAATATTTTTAATGCAAACTGTTAAAGCACAAAGAGTACATCGCAAAAACGATTAAAGGTAATCGAATTTTATAATATTAAAGCTATCACTAAGGGAAAAACGCGTTTATTAGTCACTTAGCCCTTAGTTCATTGTTGTGCAGATTAGGGATTTAATAATCAACCATGTGATTTGGAATGTAAATGATTGATTATTCACTCTGCTCTACCTCCCCACCTTCCCAGGTCATCGATTTAAACACGTTCGCACTTATATATGGGGTGACCTCAAGTAATATTGCTTCATTTGTCACTTTGAAGTGAATCGTAGAGTTTAAGGCGCTCCATAAAAGACACTTGGATGTTTCACTCATGAAGATTCATTGGATCAATAAAACACTTGCCGCACAACAGGCAGCTGCGAATTGTTTATTAGTATCTCAAAACGTTACAGTAGAATGTGGAACTGCTTTCAAATCAATAGTGCAATTACTGCGACAACTAGACAAGGCAGACTGTCATTTACAACACAAGCAGACGATCGCTATCTGCCGTATGGTACCTGCTCCTAGATTGAATCAGATGCGCACAACTGCATCTTGATGTCGTGTCGGAGAACAGGGGATTAAAAACGTACATTACTAAGCCAGCTTGTATACAATGTAATAAAGTGTATTCCGCTCACAGGAAAGCACAAAATAGCACATTTTCAAGGGTGCCAATAACCCAGTGGAATAACGACTTGCGGAGAAGTATTATTTTCACAGGTGAGTTGGACTTCACTGTGCGGTTAGGTCATACCCATATACTTATTTAGAAAGAATTTAGAACCATAATTTTATACAGGATAATTACGCATATGGTCTGGCTGTGGTTAAAATGTGTTGTGGGAGGGAATAGGTATTGGTCAAACATACCGACCTATGCATCTTTTGCAATGACATCTTTAATGTCACAAATTCTTCTACCTTTTGTTTTGCCATATGCTGGCGCCATTAGCCACGACTCTCTCAAATTATTAAT